AAGTCTCTCATTATGAGCGACACCCCCCCCCCCCATAATCCCATGTCCCTCCTTCCTAGGGTCGCCAGTTTGGTTTCCTGGGGTGGGTAAAAGTCTCTTTCCCCTTCAAGCTCCAGGAAGCCGCACCCCTCGAGCCCTGCTCTCAGCCCGAGCATACCTGGGTGCGCCCCCAGCAGGAGCGCCAGCGCCAGTGCCAGCAGCCGCGGGGCCCTGCGCGTCCCTGCCCAGGCGTCCGGGGGCTCCATGTCCACAGCGGTGGCAGCAGCAACTGAGCCCCAGCTGCAGCGAGGAGGTCGCCGCGGGGCTGGGAGGAGGAGGCCCCGCCCCAAGCACCGCCCCGCCCCGCCCCGCCCTCCCAGCCCCCCTGATCACCCAAAACCTGGGCGCCGGGCCAGGACCTCCCACTGCCCAGAGAGGACCTCCCAGCTCTGCCCAGAGCGGTGCAGTCTCTGCCCCTAGCCCCAGGCTGTCGCTCCTGCTGACCAGCACCCGCGGCGAATGGCTTGACGGACCAGTCCAGCCGGTGTGTCCTTATCTTGGACTTTACCAGAAAACCACAAATCCTCTCCCCCTCTGGACCCGAGGCCTTGTGTATTTGACCCAACACAACCAGTGGCCGCACTGGCCTCCTTCGGCGCCACCAGCAGCGCCTAGCCCGACCAGTGGCCTAGAACAGCTTCTCCCAGGATGCCCTGGGGGGGCCCTTTCCTGTGGCCAGTGCTCTGGGTGCTTTCCTGTCTGACCACTGGCCTGGAACTCTTCAGTTTAATCTCATATTTAATGGTCTCCAAACTCAAGTTTTCCCTGAGAGTCGGGGTCGGGGTCAGGGGGGTAGGGGTAGGGCAGGGGGTGGGGTGAGGTGCCCTCTCTTCAGCTTTCCCCTGTAGGGCTCTCTCTCTCTTCCTCCATCCAGGGAATCCCAGGAATGCCACCCCCTCCCTCCCTCCCTCCCTCTTTCCTTCACTCCCTCCCTACCTGGGGGGAGGGGAGAGAAGCAGGCTGCAGCAGCAGGTGAGTGGGAGAGGCGAGAAGGCCAGGGCACCTGAAGAAGGGGGGGCGGAGCATGTGCATGGATGGAGGGAAGGGTCACAGGTCATACTGAGGATCATGGATCACAGTGCCCAGGCTCCTCACCAACCAGGTCAGACTGGGGCAACATCCCCAAACTGATGGATGGGGGTGGGGGGGGGTCAGGGGGTTAGGAGAGGTCACTGGTTACCAGGGAGAAATTAAGCCCTGGGTGCTGAGGGGAATGGGGGGTAAGCTGGTCACGCTACAGAGATTCCCCAGGCCTCTGATCACACCAGGGGTCACTGGTAAGACTGGGCTCTGCCCATCAGACACAGAGGGAAGGCTCCGGTTACAGGTCTGTCCGGGAGTCAGACTGGGCAGTGCTCCCTTACGCACTGGGGATACAGGCGGGCAATTGTTACATCAGGAAAGGCGACCTTCCTTCCTCTAGGATGCCTTCCCGGCCCCTCCCCCCACTGCTGGGTCAGGTGCCCCTCCAGGCTCCCCAACCCCGGTTCTCCATGCTCTGGGCAGCCCTCTCTGAGGACAGGCCTGCCTCCCCCGCTGAGCCACGTGAGTCCAGGAGAGCAAGGCCCGGGCCTGTCTTGGGCCCTGTTGTTTCCCCAACACAAGGCCAGAAAGAGAGCAGGCCCTCAGGTGAGGTCTGCAAGGATCAAACTCCAGAGCACACAGGCCCCCGTGCAAACCCCACCCAGACTGTCCACCCAGACAGGAGGACACGCGAGGCCAACTCCCTTGTGGACAAGACGGTCACACTTCCAGACCAGCTCCTGCACTGTGACCCCAGACCCCCACTCCCCTGCTCTTGCGCCCCGGCTGGGGCACCTGCTGCTGAGGCCAGCCCCGCTGGGCGCCTCTCACCAGCCCCCGCCCCCCTCCTTCCACTTTCTCCAAGAACCCACCCAGTGGGGGCTCTGGGCTGGGAAACATGCGTGGGGTCTGAGGGCGCGAAGTCGTCCATGCCAGCCCTAGCCCCTCACAGAAACTAGTATTGTGACATCATCTGTCCTTGTCCCCTGCCATTCATTCCCACCAGCCAGAGACTCTATTAGAATATGTGTCAACTCCTCGGACTCTTCTGCTCAAACTCCTGCCCTGTCTCCCTTCCCCCGATGAATGCAAAGCTCTGCTCCCCGGCTCCCTGGTCCTCGATCTGGTCCTCGTCACCTCCCTGACCCCCTCTTCCTCTCCCTGGCCGCTCGCTAGCTCGGCTTTTGCCGTAGTTCTCTCTGGGCTTCCGTGCTGCACCTCCACCACCAGGCATGGCCCAGCCTCAGGACCTTTGTGCCAACTTTCCCCTCTGCTGGGACATCCTCCCCCCACAGACTTGCTTCAAATCTCGACCCAGCATCACCTGGTCAAATAGCAATTCCTGCTTTCCCGGCCCCTCCCTATCACCCTTATCTGCCTACACTTTCCTCCCACAGCACCTTCTCTGCCACACGTGTTTGTCTGTCCCGCACGGAATGTGAGCTCTGAGTGTCTCTGTTCGCCACTGTTCCTCCTCCGGTGCCCAGGACAGGGTTTGGCCTGAGGAGCTGAGCAACAAATTCCGTGAATTAATTTTCCAGTCCATTCTTGCTGCCTCATGGGCACGTACTTCCACATTTTAATCAACAAGCCTTATCTTTCCTCCACCTGTATCCATTGTTTCACAGGCAGCGTGTAACGGTTATCTTTAAAAATGAGTTCACAGCTCGTGGGCTACTGGATTGTGACGCATTTCAAGGCTGATGGCCGTTCCCAAGTGATTCCAGACGGCATCTGGAAAATGTAGCCATTGAGAATTTGTGTAGTCTTGGGGTTGGGAGGGGGCGTGTGAATGCATGTTTGGTTGGAAAAGAGTTAGTTGTGCAGGGAGTGTAGATGAGAACTTTGGCGGGAATTGAGTGGAAGTTTAAGACAAAGGGCGCATATTGTGTTGAGCGTGCAAAGGGGTGGACTGTGGTGGACTTGGGGAAGGGTGCACTAGCCTCTGCACCCCCTTCCCACAGTTAGAAAACTCCCTGTTGCCTGAAAGCCTGTTCTCCTTGTTGAAGCCCGCAAGGACGCAGGTTCTTGCAACCGACCTTGTCGAATCCGGCTCTGCCTTGGGAATCAGGAGCCAATGACATTAAAGGAGCAGGGACTGGCAGATCGATTCCCGCCGCGGCGGCTGGGACACCTCCTGTCTTCCAAAGATGGCTGCGACAATGTCTCTCATTCTCCCTGCTCCTCGAGCATCTGATCTTGATGCTCCTTCCACCCAGAAGTGGGGTCTCGGTAGCTTCTCAGCCCTTTGGCTCCGCCCAAGCGTTCGGCGACATCGATAACGGGTGTCCAGCTTTTTGAAACCCTCTCCCCGGAGCGGGCGGTGCAAGCGGAAAGCCGGCAGGTTGAGCTCTTTGCGGTGGTCCCCGCAGCTGGAAGCCCAGGAACCAGGCCGTCGAGTCCCAGAGATGAGCGAGCTTACATGGGGGGCTGTGTGCGTCCGCCACCAGCAGCCCGCTCACCTGTGCGCGGCCACCGGGACCGGTGTCGTTGCGCCCTCTCCCAGGACGTGGCACTCGGCTTCACTTCGCCTTTCGCGGGAGTTGGCCCAGGCCCGCTGTTGGGCGACGCGGTTTTCCAGTCCAAATGCGGTAGCGCGCGGCTGCCCGTGGAGATGATGAGTGCGCGCTGCCTGGCGCTGGATCTCCGATTTGGAAGACCTCAATCCGGTTCCTTAGGGTAGCCCTGACCTCCCTAGCTCTGCTGGACCTCCACGGTCCCCAAAGGACCAGTGAGGTCCTGCTGATCCAGGTCTTCCCTCACAGGGAAGGAGAAAGAGTTTTTCAAGATCAGCGCCGGTGCGCTGGAAGTTTAAAACATGCAGTAGTACTTGACTGTTTGGTCAGGGGCACCAACTTCTTTTCCTTTACACTGTCAAATAAAAAATGACAACGGCCAACACACACACACACACACACACACACACACACACACACACACAAGTAGGGTCTATGGCGTCCCCTCCTCTGCAATCTGAGCAGTTTTGTGACTCACACGTACGTAACCGATAGAATGTGCCAGAAATGACACCACGGGACTCCCAAGAGAAGGTAAAAAGCTGTGCAGCTTCTGCCTGGGTCACTGGAGTGGCAGCCTCGACCTTCAGCCACCACACAAGCGGTCTGTCACCTAGAGGCAGCCACGCTGTGGAGGAGCCTGACTAACACGCATGAGCGCCCATGGACAGGTCTGAGACTGTGGGGGCACACCCCTCCAGCCCCTGGCTGCCCCAGCCCAAGTGCCACTTGACTGCACCCTCTGCCAGACTCACCCGAACGGGCTCCCCACCAAATCCTGGCCCACAGCAGCCCTGAGAGATGGTCATGATGGCCACTGTGCGCCGATGACTCGGCCTGATTCGCTCTGGGCCACGGCTAGCAGGCACCACCTGCTTCTGGGGCAGCAGAGGAAGGTGACCAGTGTCCAGTGGTCACTGCTGCATCCTCATCAGACCGGTTTGTGGCTGGGCGATGGCTGGAGGCCAGCTGCCAGGGTTGCTGCTCGCTTTCCAGTCCTGCTTCTCTCCCGGATTCGGTGAGTGATCTGGATTCGGTGAGTGAGCCCAAGTCCTCTCGCTCAATTTCCTTTCTGCCCCAGAGGCGGCTCCTGTTGCTTGCAACTAAGCCTGTGATGCACGCTTCCAGCTCCACTTGCACTGGAATGTTTTCAGTCTCGGCTTAGATGTCTCCTCCTCCTGGAAGCCAGTCCTGACCTCCCAGGCTGGGTCAGCTGCCCGCTCTGGGCTCCCCTGTCCCAGCCCTGCCCACTCTGGATCGTCACCATCGGGGACAGGTCTGTCTCTTCCACTGGACTGTGGGCCTCATGCTCAGCATGGTCCAGCTGGGGGCCGGACACAGGGTAGGGGCTCAAGGGATGTGGACAGTTTTAAACTTAAGCTGAGGGAGGCTCCCCTCAGTGATGAGGTGACAGACACTTTCTCAGCTTGATTTGGACCAGAGGTCACTTTTACTCTTGGAAAAGGATCCCAGGGAAGAAGAGAGAGAGAGAGAGAGATGGGAACAGATGTGGCAAGACTGTGGACATGACTCTTAAGGAAGTGTGGGGTCTTTTTGACTGGGGGGACTTAGAACTTTGATGTCTGGGTCTCGGTGCAGGGATTATTATTATTATTTTTTTGCTATGATGGGCAAAGGGTGTTGGCTGCCTGCTTCTCTGAGAACTTGGCACTCTGGACTCTGGGGTCTGAGGGAGGAGGGGCTGGGGGCCTGGACTCCCAGATCCAGAGGAGCTGGGCCCCCCTTCCTGGCTCTCTGATCTCAGAACCCTGGGCGAATCAGGAGGGGCTCAGGGCCCCCAAGTTCCTGGTGCCAAGCTGCCCCCTAGTGGTTGCTGCATTCTCTCTCCACACCCAGGAGGCGGGGCAGTTTATTTCTGCTTCCCAAACTCCTTCCAGCCCCTGGGGCTCCTTTCAGCAGCGCATCCTGGTGCCCTGGGAGGTGGAAAGAGAGGTGGTTTAAATAATATCACATTCAGGTGGGGTGGGGTGGGCAGGAGCAAGGGAGAGAGCCCAGGCAGGGCGGGGGACTCACCTGGCCTCCAGGCCGGCGGCGATCATGGACCCCCCCAGGGCAGCTGGGGGGGTGACCTTCCCTTTAGGAGTTTCTGCAATGGGGAGAATTTGGGGAGAGGAGCTGTCGATCTCCTAGGACTAGTGTTCCTGGTCCTCCCCCACGCCCTGTTCCCTCAGACCCAGGGGCCCCAGACCCCAGCTGCCCTGTCCACTCACTCTGTGGCTCCCTCCCTGGCCTGCGGGCGGGAGGTGGCTTCCCACGGCACCAAGGCCACAGTCCTAATTTTTGGCAAAATAAGAGGGGCCCGGAGTCTGGGCACGGCTGGAGGCGCCTGGAGGAGAGGAGATTAAGAAATTTTACAGCTGAGCTGCAGCTGTGCCTCATGCCCCAGCCAGGGCAGGGGCGACACGATGGTGGTGGGCGGTACGCCAGGGTCTTGCTCCCAGCGTGTGCTTCTTCCTCCCCAGCACCTCTGGCTCGAGTAGGAAGAAGTCTTAATTTGTCCATCCACACACCTACCCATCCAACCAACCATCCATCCATGCCTCCATCTCATTCATTCACCCCCAAAATATTTTCTTAGCATCCGCAGTGTGTCAGGCACTGTTCTGGGCTCTAAAGAGGTAACCATGGCCCTGGCTGGTGCTCCTCAGTGGATTGAGTGCCAGCCTTCGAACCAAAGGGTCACCAGTTTGATTCCCAGTCAGGGCACATGCCTGGGCTGTGGGCCAGGTTGGGCCCCCAGTAGGGGGCACATGAGAAGCAACTACACTTATGTTTCTCTCCCTCTTTTTCTCCTTCCCTCCCCTTCTCTCTAAAAATAAATAAGAATGAAATTTTAGCCATGAACCAGACAGACTGTCTCCTCACGGAGCTGACGGTCTACCGAGTAATCAGTGCGTGAACAAGGAAATATCCCCAAGGGTTAGGAGTTCTTCGGAGAGCTGAAACAGGCAGGGGGAGACGGTGGGGGGCGGGGCAGCGGACATGAGGGTGGCTGGGGAGACCTCGTGGAAGAGGGGCCAGTGAGCAGGAGCCCGAGTGCCAGAAGGGTGTGGGGAGAGGCCTGGGTGGTGGGCTTGCTGGTCTGTCAGCACAGCGAGGGGCCAGTTGTTGCTGGGAAGGAATTGGGGGGTGGTGTCTAAGGTCACTGGGGAGATGGGGAGGGTCAGAGCCTCAGGTCTCAAGGGTAGGGCAGTGGAGAAGATGTTGGTTTTAATTCTTGGAGCCCTGGGGAGCTTCTGAGAGTTCGGGTCGGGGCGGCGGTCTGACTCGGGTTTCAGATGCCCAATCTTGCTGACTCCACTAAAACTCATGCGGCCCATGCCAGCCTTGTCGTCATTTTGCACGTGCAGACACTGAGGATGGGAGAGGTGCCCAGGGGTCAGCCAGGTGCCCGGGTTCTGCGGGGTGATGGTGGCGCCCCCTAGAGGTGGGTTTCTCAGGCGGAGAACAGCTCTGCTCCGGAGCTGCTTCTCATGCAGAGCAAGACCACAGCGACACAGGCCATTAACCCAGCCCCACTCACCCGGTGCCCGCAGCAGCCCCGCACGGCGGGAACGGGCATCACACCCATTTCCCAGACAAAGCAATCGAGGCCCACAGAAGGAGCGGAGGGAGGATGGGCTCTAGAATCTGGAGCCAGGGACCCCGGTTTCAGTCCTATCACCTGATCACCACTGAGCCCCAGTGTCCCCCTCTGTGTAAGAGGGGTCACAACAGTACCCACCTCACTGGGTCATCATGACAATGAAACAAATGTATGAAAAAGTAGTGGCAGGCCCAGCTCAGGGAGCACAGTCAGTAATATTGTGACAACTTTGCATGGTGACAGGTGGTTACTAGACTTTGTGTGGTCACCACGTCGTAAGCTGCGTACGTGTCCAATCACTGCGTTGGACAGCTGAAACAAACACAATATTGTATGTCCACTATACTTAAAAAAAAAACGTGTTTTTTTTTTTCTAACAAAGCAGTGCCAGCCGTCCTCTAGGGAAAGTGATACGCACATTAACTATTCTCATTATGACTGTCACTTTGCTGGGAAATCACCAGGCCACCTGACCTCAGTGCTCTGAAGGATGAAGGAACAGGAGTTGCCTGGACTGGGACTCAGGCAGGGTTTGGGGCGACGAGCAGGGGGCACGCCAGGCGGAGGGCACAGCCTCGGCAAAGGGGCAGTCGTGTGGCCCGCAGTGCCCCTGGGCCTGCCGCTCTGGCTGTGTCCCCCTCTTGTCCTCAGGGAGCCGGCTGAGTGCCTCCTAATGTTTCCATTTGCTTTTGGCTGCAGGTTGGGATCTGTTTTTAGCTTCCCTGGCTGGTGTCAGCGTGCCCTCCCCTCCCCCCTCTTCCTGCCGGCTCTCTTGTTTGCTGTGTTCGAATAGCGTTCCCGGACTTCCTGAGGTGTTTGTTTGAAGGCGGCCTGTATTGATTGAGCCTTTCGGGTACTCAGTCTGCGATGCTAACAGAGACTTGCCCCTCCCCTGTGTGCCAGGGTCTCAGAAAATCCTGGGGTGGGAGGTGAGAGGTTCGGGGAGAAGGCAAGGCTGGGGCTCCCCTAGAAAATAAGCCGAGGATTTTAAGGCTCCTAACCCTGGCGTACCCTTTTCTAGGCTGGGTAGGATGGGGTGGCCGCAGTCACCTGTCTGGTGACTTGCCTCTGAAAAATGAGGAGGAACATTCTGGACTTCGTAGGGCTGTGGAGAAGACGCAGCTGGACTTACTCATTCAACATCTATTCATTGAGCACCTACTACGTGTGAGGTGCTCTTCTAGATATTGGTGATATAATGAGAATAGGGCCAGGTCCTAACTTCAGGAGGGTGACAAGCGGCTGAAGGAGAACAGAGACTGTTCTCTCTGCCAGCTGGTGAGAAGAGCTATGAAAACGCAGCTGGCAGGGGCTTGGAAGGACAGGGGTGCTATTTTCAGTAAGGGGGTCACAGAAGATCTCCGTGAGGGAGGCTGAGACAATGAGCCTGGATACAGGAACTCCAGGCAGTGGGGACAGCTTGTGCAAAGGCCCTGGGGCAGGACAGGTCTGCACTGCTGGGAGGAGAGCCAGCAAGCCAGCGAGCGATGGGGCACGAGTAAGGAAGAGCACAAGAGAAGAGGACTGAGAAGTGTGGGTGCCCGATGACACAGCACCCTGTCCGTGAGTGCAGAGAAGGAGTGGCTGGCCCCGCACCCCTGAGCACCCAGCTGGACCAGGACCCCTGCTGTGGAACGAGCCCCGAGCTGCCCACCTCAGACCAGCGCCAGACTCACCACCGTCAGCTGGCCTTTACTTCTGGGATGCCCAGGGGACAGATCCAGGTGAGGGGGCAGTGGGGGAGCTGAGGGGGTCACCTGGAGGAGACAGAGGGTGGGAAGAGAGCTGTGAGCTGCCATTTTCTTCTTACCCACGCTGGCGTCCCGGCGTCCAGGCACCGTTGCAGCCACTGGAGGAATGAAGGAGAGTGAAACAGAGTCCCAGCCCTCAGCAGGGTCAGACTAGAGACAGCCATGCCCCGGCCCCTCAGGGAAGCAAAAGTCCAGGCCCTGAGAGCCCCCAAATCCCATCACCAGCCCCCTCCTCCCCCTGACCCAAGAGCCAGGCCCCACCCCTCCTCCCTCAGACCCAGGAATTTTAGTTCCAGCTCCGAGCTGGCTCTGCCTACCTGCCCCATCTCTTCCTCTTCATTTGCCCAGTCATGGCTCTTCCCTGGGCCCTCAGCAGCGGCTCTGGCTTCCACTGGCCTCCCTTGGAACTGATGGATACTCACGGCCTCTTGGCCCTGGATCTCGCTGCGGCAGAAGGGGCAGGTCTGGCTGTCTGAGTGCTGGGGGTGGGGGAGGGGAGCGTCAGGGTCTCCCAGTTCTTTTTAACACCCCCTGGGACCCCTCGGGCCTTCCTCTGCAGCAGAGTGATGTGGGGAGGACAGACAGAGGGAGGCCAACGGAGAGGGGGAGAGGAGGAGAGAGAGAGGGAGATGAGGAGAGAGATGCAGGCCTAGAAGGGGGAAGGGGACCAGACCCTGAGGCTAGGGGCACACACAAATGGGGAACTCGGTGGCACCAGGGTGTGGACCCCAGCCAGTGACAGTGCTGCTATGGGGGGAGGAAGCCGGAGGTGTTCGCCTAGGCAGCAACCCCACATCCCCCCACCAACACCTGGGCCGGCGCTGCAGCTGGACTGGTCCTGGTGGTTCTTATTACGGTTGCAGTATGCATGTCAGCAGAAACCATCAGGGAGCTCGGAAGAACAAGATTTATTACTCAGGTCCGGGAGGGTGCCCAGCGGGCCCGAAGGCCACAGGGAGGTCGCAAGTAGAGAGAGGCGGTGGCCGGGGGTGGGGGTGAGGTGGGGGGGTGGGATGGGGGGTGGTACATGGACCTGGGGGGCTCTGCCTTTTTTAAAACAAGATTCAGTTATTCATTCATTCATTTATTCATTTTTTTCTTTTTATTCTTTTCTCCTACCCAAGCACACGCTTATTGATTTGAGAGAGAGGGGAAGGGCAGGAGGGGGCAGAGACAGATAGACAGAGAGAGACAGAGAGAGACAGAGGCACTGATAGGTTGCCTCTGGTGTGTCCCAGGAGCCAGGGATCCAGGGCCCGAGACCTTTCAGTTCACCAGATGACACTCCAACCCACCAAGTCACACTGGCCGGTGGCGACTCTGCCATCATTAGAGGCAGAATGGGCAGCTTAGGGTGTCATGGGTTCCCTTTTACTGAATTTACAGAATGGGAGTGGGAATTAGGGTGTAGAAAGGGAAATGCATGGGTCACCTAAGAAGATTACCCAGGGCTTTCTAAAGGGGAACTTTCTGGGTGGGGGCGGCCTGGTTCCTCATCTGCTCAGCTGGCCAGTAATTGCGTCATACATCTGGTTATTTGCTTATTGGGCATGGATGTCTTTGAAATGCATGACTCAGCGATCGGAAGCTGAATGCCAGGCGTTTAGTTCCAATCAGAGCACTTGCCTCTTGCACCTGCACTGCACAGAGGCCACAGCCCCCTTCCCCAGGGGCCGGGCCTGCGGGCTTCAGGATTGGGACCCTCCCTGTGGCTCCGTTCTCCAGAAACAGAGGTTAAGGCTCAGAGAGGTGAAGTCACCAGCCCCAGATGGCCCAGCCAGGAAAGGAAGGAGCTCTACCCATGAATCCCATAGGTGGGGAAGGAGAAGCAGGGGTGACGGACACAGGGTGAGATGGGGACAGTCGCACAGACAGGGACGGGCGGGCTCCTGGCCCTCACTGCTGAGCGACCCCGAGCAAGCCTCTGTTCTCCCTGGGCCCGTTTCCCCACGTGATCCACGCGGCAAAGGGGAGGTCCTTCAGGGGCTTTTCCCCGTGGAGCGGAGGACCCACCTGCCAGGTGGCCAGGCAGCGGCTGCACAGCAGGTGCCCGCACGGCTTGATCTTCACGTCCTTGTTGCCCTCGGCGCAGATCTTACAGAGCTCGAAGGTGGAGTCCATGGCCCAGTACAGCTGCAGCTGCTCCTGGGGGCGAGGGGAGAGGAGGAGGCAAGGGTGGCGGCATCGGCCCCGGGATACCAGCGGGGCTGCAGGGGGAGAGTCCCAAACTTCGGCGGGCCCCCACCCGTCCCCCAAGCTCCAGGCCTCTTGCATGTACCCCAGGTTACGAGATGTGCTCCCTGGGGTGGGCTGCTAGCAGGGCGGCTAGAGTTAGCAACGAAACACACAGGACGCCCTGTTACATTTGCTGTTCACATGTACGCAGAATAAAATTTCCGTGTTCCAAACACTGTGTGATGTGCCTGCACTTAAAAGAAAATGACTTGTCTGTCGTTTCTCTTCCACCCTCAAGGTGACTGGGAAGACTGAGGCTCGGGGGCTGGGAGTGCGCTAGTGCATTAGCTGTTCTGGTGATCTCAGAAGTGTCATTTCCTGCTCTCATCCCCAGGAAAACCCCTGGGGAGGCATCAGGAGGAGCTGTGCTTTCCACCTAAGGAACAGAGAGGCTCCGAGAGGCCCAGGGATGATGTACCTTAGGTGACGTGGCCATCACACCAGCACAAAACCCCAAGGCCTCTGGGATTCCAGGGCCTGACTCCGTGGGAGAGGTTCCTGACCCCAGGGTGGGGGAGAGGGGGCACGGGCCTGGGCTTCACCTCTGACACTTGGATGTACTGATGGGGTTCCTGGTGGCAGAGTTCAGTCAGGTCCGGGTTGTGGTTCTTCCCGTCTGGGTAGAGGTAGCTAGGGGAGGGAAGAGACGGCTAGTGAGGGTTCCTCCAGCGGGCCCGCCCCCGGCATCACAAAGACACCCGCCCCCCCCAACAGACCACTGCTACAGGGCCCAGAGCTCCTCAGTGAGCAGGAGCCTCACATCTCCTGCTGGCCTGAGGTATTTTTCTCCCTCTCTCCTTGTACCTGCCTCTCCAGGGCAGGGCCGTGTCACCTCATACCCCCATGATGGGCAGTGATAACCTCGGTGACTCAAGCTCCGGGGACGAGGACCAGGAAACAGATCAAACCCAGGCCATCCAGGCCGCATCCTTCCGGAATGCCACCTGGTCTGGAGTCTTCAGGCCTGAGCACAACAGCATCTCAGAGTCACAGATTCCCGAGTGACCAATCCCTGGAGTCTCAGACCAGCAGGGCTACAAGGACCCTGCTAGACACCTAAGCCACTTCTCGTTTCCTAGCTGGGGGCTGGGGCCCAGTGTGGGAGAGGCGACTGCCCAAGGCTGCACAGTGAGGCCCGGAGGGACACAGACCAGGGAGCAGCCCTGAGGCTGGACCCCAGGGCAGCTCTCCCACACACACACTGTGGGACCTGCGCTGGGCAACTCTCCCTTTCTGGCCTCGGTTTTTCCTTCTGTGAAATGGATGTAAATGCGTTAGGGCAAAGATGGGTGGTATGAATTAAATAGAACAGTGCTCACGAAACGTTCGGCACCCCTCCTCTGTGCATAAACGCCCGACAAGAGGGCACTGCTGTGAACAGTGCAGCCCCGGAAAGCTACCTCGGTGCGGGGCAGAAAGAGCTGGTGCCCCTTCCCCTGTCTTGGGGCTTTGGTGTTCCCATCAGTGAAATGGTGGCCGTGATCTCGTGTGTGTGCGTGCGTGTGTGTGTGTGTAGCAGGGGCTCGCACCAGATTGAGGGTGTTCACACTTATTTTAACTCTGCAGCGTTCTCTCCAGTGAGGTCTGACCTAGGGTACAAAGCATTAGAGTGAGTTAAGGGCCCACATTTTGAGCCTGCTGTCTGGCTTCAAATCCCAGCTCATCAGCTGAGTGGCTGTGTGACCTGGGCAAGTGGCTGTGTCTCTGTGCCTCAGGTTCCTCGTTTGCCAAATATGGTGATATAATAATCCCTGGCTGGTATGGCTCAGTGGATTGAGCCAAAGGGTTGCCTGTGGGCAGGCCTATGAAACAAAGGGTTGCAGGTTCGATTCCCAGTCAGGGCACATGCCTGGGTTGCGGGCCAGGTCCTCAGTAGGGGGGCGTGCAAGAGGCAACCACACATTGATGTTTCTCTCCCTCTCTCCCTCCCTTTCCCTCTGTCCAAAATGGGTAAAATCTTTTAAAAAATATGGTGATATAATATATGTGTATATATATGTATGCATATATACACACAATAGATTTTTATTATTCATGGATTCCATATTTGAAATTTACCTACACACTAGATGTGTAACCCTCAAATCAATACCTGTGGCACTTTTGTGGTCGTTCATGAGCATGCACACAGTGGCAAAAAATTTGAGTGGCCCAGGGGCCTGCTCCCAGGTGAGGCCGAGTGAGGCAGCAGCGGCCCCCTTGTCCCAGCCCTCACACTGTAAACCAGGGCCCTTTCTGCTCGCCGGTGTCACGATTCTCACGTTTCCGAGCTTTTTTATGGTGTGATGTCACTGTTTGAAGTGCCCGAGGGCACAGTTTATAGTTGGCTGTGCGCTCAGTGTTAAAGGAATCAACAGTACATATTATATATAAGGTGTCTTCATTTGATTTTTTATCCTCACCTGGGGATATATTTTCATTGCTTTTTAGAGCGAGAGGAAGGGAAAGAGGGAAACATCGATGAGAGAGAGAAGCATCGGTCGGTTGTGTCCCGCAGGCGCTCAGACAGGATGTCACGCGCCCGGACCGGGGATGGAACCTGAGACCCAGGCATGTGCCCTGACCGGGAATCGAACCCACAACCTTTGTTTTAATTACCGGACACCGATCTAAGCGACTGAGCCACGCAGGGCTGCATAAGGTGTCTTTACACAGAAGCACACATAAAGGTTATTGTGTAGTGACTGGCGGACAGAATGTGACCAGTGTCGCAGAAATGGCTCAGTATTCGCCACCTCAGTGACTGTAGAACAGAACTACCGTGAATCCCGAGAACCGACTGCATACCTACGTGCCTCATTGTATCAGGTAGATGTGACTGCTAAGAAGGCTCTGACTGAAGGGCCAGCATGGGACTTGGGAACCTCACCTGCTTTTTCCTCCCTCCCCTTCTGCCCAAGGTGGCTGCTGAAAGTGAGGCCCTGAGCAGCCAAGTCACAGAAGGAAAACCACTGGTCCAGCTGTCTGCCCTGTTCTCTTTCTGTTCTAACAGTCTGGATTACAAAATGGGATACGGTTAATATAGAAGTGAAAGCTCTGAGGGTCATTTCAAGAAATGGAGCCACGTGGGTGTTGTGCTCAACTCCCCTCGCCCTCCTCCGTGGAGCTGCCAGTTGGTCTGTATAGCAGCTTTGTGGGAAGTAGAAAAGGCACCTGTTCCTCAAGACCCTCGTCTGCCACCTGCTGGAACACTGTAGTATTGCAAGTTTGTGACGCCTGCCCTGGGAGGTGCAGCCCCAGGACCCCCGCCGCACCGCTAGGAGGACTCACAAGCCTCTCTTTTCTCCTTCCAGGAGCGCCTGGAACAAGGGTTTGTTTTGAGGGATGGTCTGCACGATGCTGCCATCTGAGGTTACGTATCCGATGGCCCACTGGCCCAGGCGAGTGCAGCTGGGGCGGAAGATGTAGCTGCGGGAAGAGGCAGGTAGGATGGCGGGAGAGAGTGGTCACCACTGTCTTTTCTGGGACCTCCCAGTCCCTCACACTGTTGGGGATCCAGGTGCCCAAGTCCCCACCCCCTTATAACGCAGCTCCCCACTTTTTAGACAATGAGGTGCTATATTCCTCTCTGCCTGTCATATGGGGGATCGGCTGCTTGGCCTCCCTTCCCCCTTCACCAGGGTTAGACCAGGTTGATTCTGGACTGGCCAGTCGGTGCATTTCAGGACCCCTGAGCATAGTAATGGGAGTCAGCCCTGGGACTTTTTTTGTTTTTCAATTAAATTTTTTTTTCTTTTATTCCAGAGAGAGGGGAGGGGAAGGAGAAAGAGGGGGAAAGAAACTTTGATGCAAGAGAAACATCGATCGGTTGCCTCTGGTGTTCTCCCTGACTGAGGACTGAACCCGCAACCCAGGCAAGTGCCCTGGCTGGCTGGGAATCAAACCCACGACCTTTCAGTTTGTGGAGTGACACCAAACCAACTAAGCCACACCGGCCAGGGCAGCCCTGGGACTTTTGCTGGGAGTTCCACTGAGGTACCCCATTCCTACAGAGGTTGCTAAGCTGGCAGGGTATATACATCTGGGGATTCTAGAATCCACGAAGGGAGATCATATCTGCAAACAAAGCTAACAGAGACAAAAGCAGAGATGGGATAAACAGGATCCGATTCTTGACTGTCAACACGTGAGCACCTGGATGTAGCTCTGCCTGAAGCCTGCAAAGACACCTGGTCTTTTCACTTATGGAAATTAGTTCATCCCTTTTTTTTTCTTTCCCTTTAAACCAGTTTGCAGTGTAACCGGAAGGATGCTAATACGCTTGCTGCCCTGGGGGGTCTGCCCCCTAGCCTTGCAAAGACTCACGAATCTGACCTCTTGGTGTTTCAGGGAGCTCAGCCCCTCAGTTTTTTTTATAATTGTTTAAAATATTTTATTTATTTATTTTTAGAGAAAGGGGAAGGGAGGGAGAAAGAGAGAGAGAGAAACATCAGTGTGTGGTTGCCTCTCTCATGCCCCCAACTGGGGACCTGGCCTGCAACCCAGGCATGTGCCCTGACTGGGAATCCAACCGTCTCAGGCCAGCACTCAACTCACTGAGCCACACCAGCCAGGGCTCAGCCCCTCAATTCTTAACCCTCTGGGGGGACCCAATGGCTCCAAGCTCCTGGCTGGAAATAATTTCAGGTGTCTGGTTCCCAGTCTCCTCCTCCAGCAGGTGAGGGAATTCCTACTAAAAATATTTAATAACCCTGGCTGGGTGGCTCAGTTGGTTGGAGCGTTGTCCCCGTACACCAAAAGGTTGTGGGTTCAGTCCCCAGTCAGGGCACATGCTTGGGTTTTGGGTTGGATCCCCGGTTGGGGTGTGTACAAGAGGCAACTGATGGATGTTTATCTCTCACATTGATGTTTCCCTCTCTCTCTCTCTCTCTCTCTCTCTTTCTCTCCCTCTTCTCTCTCTAAAAATCAATAAGCATATCCTCAGGTGAGAATTAAGCAAACAAACAAACAAACAAGCCATGAAGGAACAGCATGTTTATACAAATATTTAGCCTTGGCTGGTGTGCCTCAATGGAGGCCTGAGAACCAAAGGGTTGAAGGTTTGATTCCCAGTCAGGGCACAGGCCTGGGTTAGCGGCCAGGTTCCCAGTAGGGGGTGCATGAGAGACAACCACACATTGATGTTTCTCTCCCTCTCTCTCTCCTTCCCTTCCCCTCTCTCTAAAAATAAATACATAAAATCTTGAACAAGGTCTAGGACGTCTCAGGAGAAGAGGTGGGGCAGCAGGGGCACTCTCTGTCCTACCTCTGGGTTCTCCACTCTCTGGGACTCCAGGTACAGTAGCCCTTCAGTTCTTGCTGTCTCTGAAGTATGTCTGGGTTTCCACCACCCCAAGCCCAGAACTGAGAGCCGGGAACCCTCAGGAGCCTCCTCTTCCTGGGGCCTGCCTGGGGCTCCCACTGACACCCCCACCCTCAGCAGCGAACACCCACAAGCCCCAGGCTGCAGCGTACCTGCCTGGCTTGTCTCTGCAGGCCTGCAGACGCGCCTGGACCTCGTCGTACGTGAGGAAGGCCATGTAGCCTGGGTGGTTGACTGCCAGAAACTGCCAGTTCTTGAGGAGTGTTGGCCAGGGCTGGAAAGGGTGATGCCTGGGTCATGAATGGGCTGGCGGAGCAGCGCCCCTTCCTGGTGCTTCTGGGGATCCAAGAACCCAGCTCACACCTCAGTGGGCCTCAGGAATCTCTCTCTTACACAGAAGACTCCAGACCCTAATTCCCCAGGACCCAGGAGTCAGGTCCCCAGCCCCTCCTCCCACAGGAACCAAGTCTGAACTCCCAGCCTTGACCTCCCCTGACCTGGAAGAGCCTGGTGAAGATGTCAAATTCGAAGATGGACACATGGCCACTGAAGGTGAGGTCGATGGTGGAGCGCAAGGCGAAGGTCGTGGGGCCTGATTCCATGGGGTGGCAGGTGCGCAGGAGGGACTCAAACTCAGCCCAGGGCAGCACACACCTGGGTGGACAGAGGGGTGGGGAGGTGCAGATCAGGCCTCTGGGAGGCCTAGGATGGAGGACCTCTATCTAGCAAGGAGGCATCTGGGGGCTGGAACTCCTGGGTCTGAGGGAGGAGGGGGCTGAGAGGCTGTGGACCAGGACTCCTGGGTCCCTGGGCAGGGGCAGGATAAGGTTCCAGGGGCGCCAGGAGCAGGCACTCACTCACCGGGCTCCACAGTGCTCCCTCCAGAAGGTGTGGGCTTCAGTCTTGGTGAGCTGGTATGTGTGCCCACAGTACTTTCCCCCGGGGAAGAGCGCCCTCAGCTCCGCATACATGTGGCTGAAGATAAGGGCCAGCTTGGCCAGCTGTCGCCTGTGAGGATGGGCTCTGAGCACCTGGCTGGACACCGGGGCTCCCACTGACACCCCCACCCTCTGCAGCGAACACCCACAGGCCCCAGGCTCTCTGATGCAGCGGTGCAGGGGGAAGCCGATTTCCACACTGCCTGCTGCAGCCCTGACGCCTCCCGTGTCAGAGCCTCAGTTTCTTCGTCTGTGAAGGAAAGGAGATGCAGCGCAATATCCTCTCCCCCAGCGCGCAGGCCCAGTCTCTGCCTGAAGCTTGCGGTGATGCAGGAGAAGCCTTGCCTAGTTGGTCATGGGGACCGCTGGTGCCCAGAGCATTTAGGGTGGTCTGCGTGCCTGTCAGGCTCAGAGCCCTCCTCTGGGTTGGGGCAGCGCTGCTGGAGGCCGTGCTTTCTCCTGCCGGCTGGCTGCCTCCCTGAGGTGTGATCAGGACGTGGGTGGCAGCAGAAGGTAGCCCTTACGCTTCGCTGTGTGCTTTTAGGTAGGTTCCTTTATTCCCCCAAGCCTCAGTTTCCCCAACTGTGAAATGGGCATGAGTACAGCTCCTGCCCCACAGTGGTGGGAGTGGTGAGGATTCTTACAGGCACACAAAATGCCCAGCACACCCAGCACACAGTCGCCGCTCAGTGCATATTAATTATTATTAGTTCTTCTTTTAAAGAAATTCATTCTTTAAAAAATCCTCACCTGAGGATATGTTTATTGATTTTAGACAGAGAGAGAGAGGGAAGCATCGATGTGAAAGAGAAACAAACATCAGGTGCCCTGGAATTGAATCCAAAACCTAGTTCTGTGCCTGGACTCCTGGGTCCGAGGGAGGAGGGGCTGGGGGCGAGGACTCCCGGGTCCGAGGGAGGAGGGGCTGGGGGCCTGGACTCCTGGGTCTGAGGGATAAGGATGGGAGTCTGACCTAGGCCTTCCTGATGACCCCACCTTTATTCTGGGGGCCAAGGGTTTCCACTCACCTGAGTATGGAGCCCTCCCGGAAGAGCTCGTCGTTGGCACTCTTTTGGCCCCGGGGTGGCAGGAGTGCCGCAACCTGCCTGCTCTTGGCCTCCAGGTTGGCGAGGTAGACGATGAGAAAGTCCCCGGCACCCCCGGGACCCTCGTGGCCGCTTCCACCGGCTTCCCGCCGGGCGTGGGCCACCTCTCGAAGTAGCTTCGCGGCGCTGGGCAGCAGGTCCCTTAGCGAGGGTGGACTCGAGGCGAGCCGGGGGTCCCCGCATTGCTCCTGCAGGCGCTGCAGCAGCCTCACCGCCCGGCCGAGCGCGCGGGGCTCTCCACTCTGCCACCCGCGTGCGACCGCCGCCGCAGCCATGGGCCCCTCGGGTGCCTGACGAGGGACGGGTGCGGCGGTGAAAGGCGCGGCCCGGCTCAGGTAAGGTCGGGGCGGGACTCGGTGCCAGAGGTGAGGGCGGGCCCTGGAGAACTGGGCATGAGGAGGCAAGTGCCTGGGTCTCCAAAGGGGGCGGGGTCTGTGGCCCTGGCTCCTGGGTTCCCTAGAGATCGGGTTCGAAAGTCTGGTCCTTAAAGGACAGCCGGATGGGGAGGCTTGGGTGGGTGGAGATTGGAGGTGATTCCTGGGTGGGAGGGAGTTGCAAGTAAGATGCCCGGGCCTCGATGGGGAGGGGCTGAGGGCTGGTTGAATGGAGGAATGGCGGGGCGGGGCGGGGGTGGGGGAGACCTAGGACTTCTGCTGAGGGCGGGGGTAGGGCTGGTCCTCTGCGGACCCTGCAGGGAGGTGGGACCTGGGCGCAGCACTCCTGAGTCCAGGTGAAGGTTTGGATCTCTGGTCGTGGGATGGGATTAAAGGTCAGAGAGCTGAACTTTCTAGGAGGAAAGGTCAGGGAGATGGTGCGATCCCTTTGTGTCGGAGAAGGAAGACACAGCGCGACCAGACCCCTGAGTCCCTTAGGAGCAGGGTTTGGGTGGAGGATGTCTGAGGGAGCAAGAATTTGGCGACTTAATCCCTGGATCTCCAGGAACCAGCAGGAAATCAGGCTGGAGGGGCGTGGTTTTCTTAAGAACCTGCGCTCCGGGTGGCAGGTGCCCAGCCCCTGCTGAGCGCCGGGCGGCCACCGGGGGCGCTGTGGGCCCGGCCGTCCCTCCTCCCCACAGCACCAGGCCGCGCCCCTGGGCGCGCAGGACCGGCTGTGATCGCAGGTATATGTACACCTACCTAGAGACTTTCTAATCCGAAAATAATAGTTTAGGGAAGTGAGGTGCTGAGCCTCCCACCGCACCTCATTTCCCTCCTTAGACCCCACCCCCATCTCTTAGAACCCGAGAGTCATTTACTTGTGGAATCTTGCACGTTGCACCTCAGACTAGGCGGAGCCCAGGTCTTTGTACCAGGACGGGGGACGGGGAGAGGGGCGCGGGGAGGGCCTCTTAGCGCCTTGCATGGCTATCCTCTCTGAGTTGGCCTGTTTCCTCCTCCCGCAAATAGGATGAAAACCCACTGGCCTGGAGAAAATTCAAACTTTTGACTGTGTCAAGTATTGATGAAGAGCTGACGGAAGTGTAAATGGACAATTATATTGGAGAGCAATTCGATGGGATTCATCAGACCTTTGACAGGGTTGGGGGAGGCCATGGCCCTCTGCGTCCTTCAGAGCTGTAGTTTGCCAACACTTTTGCGAAAAGCGGGACGTTGTACACCTGGCATGGCTTCTCAGGGTAATACTTATCCCGTCCATGTACATGTGCTCTAGTGTCTTCTTCTGTTTAATGCCATTTTATTAAAGGAAAAAATGCTTGCAGCCCACTAAATTGATTTCAAAACCCACTAATGGATCTTGTTGGGCAGGTTGGAAAACATTGACTCAAAACACGCCAAGAGACACATTCCAGGATGTTAGTTGCAGCCTTCTGGGAAACGGAGAAAACCGGAAACAAGGTAGGGAGGTGTCCATCACCAGGAGGAGGGATGAGAAAGTTCCGGCATACTCTCACCAAGGACTCCCACGCAGCGCTCGGAATGAATGGACTGGACACACGTACCGATAGAGTGAATCATAAACACATAATGATGAGTGTAGTGGTTGAGTAGTGCCCCGCCCCACCCCCATCTCTATCCCCTGAACCCGTGAATGTGATCATTTTTAGAAAAGAGTTTTTCGCAAGTGTAACCAAGTTCAGATGAGGTCATACTGAATTAGGGAGGGCCCTGAATCCAACATGACTGTAAATTTGGACACAGACACAGGTCACACACAGGGAGAAAGCCATGTGATGATGAAGGCAGAGACTGGAGTGATGCATTTATAAGTCAAAGAATGCTGAGGATTGTGGGCAAACTCCAGAAGCTACAAAGGGGCAAGGAAGGGTTGTGCCCTAGAGCCTTCAGAGGGAGCCTAGCTTTGCCCACACCTGATTTTGGGTTCCTAGTCTCCAGGATCGTGAGAGCACAAATTTCTGTTGTTTAAGTCACTCGGTTTGTGGTCCTTTGTTTCAGCAACCCTAGGAAACTGATACAATGAATTGAAAAAACCAAGTGTAGCCCTGGCCAGGTGGCTCAGTTGGTTAGAGTGTTGTCTTGTAACTGAAAGGTTGCAGGTTCGATTCCCGGTTAGGGCACATACCTAGGTTGCGGGCTCCATCCCCAGTTCGGGAGCGTATGGAAAGCAACCAACTGATGCTTCTCTTGCATTAATGTTTCTCTCTTCTCCCTTCCCCTCTCAAAGCGATGGGGAAAAAAATATAACGTCCTCGCGTGAGGATAAAAAAAAATCCTCAAGTGAGGATTAAAAAAAAAAAGCAAGTGCAGAAGAATTAACACAGCACCCTCATTTATACCAAGTTTGAAAACCTGCAACACCAATGCTCTGTATTATTTGGGGATGCTTATGTATGTGCTAATTGTATGGAAATGTGTGTGGTAATGCTGAACATCAAATGCAGGATATAGAGAAGGAGAAGGATGGACTCTGAGAAGGATATACTGGGATTTCAACAACATCATCAATGCTTTAATTGTAAAAATATGGATCAAATATGGCAAAATGGTTGAGTTTATATGGTTGCATAGTGGGTACAAAAGAAGTGGATGATAGGCCCTGGCTGGTGTGGCTCAGTGGATTGAGTGCTGGTCTGTGAACCAGAGTCTCTGGTTTGATTCCCAGTCAGGGCACATGCCTAGAGCACATGCCTGGGTTGCAGGCCAGGTCCCCAGTAGGGGGTGCACAAGAGGCAATCACACATTGATGTTTCTTTCCCTTTCTCCCTCCCTTCCCCTCTCTCTAAAAATAAATACATAAAATGTTTAAAAAGAGAGAGGTGGGTGATAGGAAAAGATACTCAGCATCATCATCAGGGAAATGCAAATCCAAACCACAATGAGATTCCACTTCACAACCACAAGGATGGCGACAATAAAAACGACAGGCAATAACAAGCACTGGAAAGGCTGTGGAGGAGCTAAAACCCTAACACACTGCTAGTGGGCATGCAAAATGGGGCAGCTGCTTTGGAAAATAGCCTGGCAGTTGCTCAAGCGGTTAAACATAGAGTTATTATATGACCCAGCTAACTCACGCCTATGTGTGTGTATCCTAGAGAATAGAAAGCATATATCCAAAGAGAGATTTGTGAAAACACTTAAATGTTCATCACCTGCTAAATGGGCAAGCAGTATACCCATGCAATGAAGTGTTATTCATCCATTAAAGGGATGAATACTGATAGCATTCTACAATGTGAACGAACCTCGAAAACATTATGCTAACTGAAAGAAGCCCATCACAAATGGCTGCATGTTGTATGATTCAATTTCTTTATTTAATTTTTAAATGCTTATTTATTGATTTTATCTTTTGTAAGAATTTATTATTTATTTTTAGAGAGAGGGGCAGGGAAGGAGACAGAGAGGAAGAGAAACATTGTTGTGTGAGTGTGAAACATTTGCCTCTCACATGCCGGCCCCCAGCCGGGGACCTGGCCCGCAAGCCAGGCCTGTGTCCTTACTGTGAATTGAACAGGCAACCTCTTGGTTCGCAGGCCAGTGCTCCATCCACTGAGCCACACCAGCCAGGGCTATTTATTGATTTTAGAGAGAGAGGAAGGAGGAGAGAGAGAGAAACAATGATTTTTTAAAAATGTATTGACTTTAGAGAGAGGGGAAAAAAGAGACATCGATTTGTTGTTCCACTTATTTATGCATTCATTGGTTGATTTTTGCATGTGTCCTGGCTGGGGAGCGAACCCACAATCTTGACATATGAGGACAACACTCTAACTGACTGAGCTATCTACCAGGGCTGTATGATTTAGTTTATGTAAAATGTCCAAATGGATACAGAAAGTATATTAGGGGTTGCCTAAGGCTGAATGGGGCTGGGGTTAAGAAATGGTTTAAAACTGAATTTGGTGATGATCAAACACAACTCTGTGATCTTACTAAAACTATTGAATTGTGCACTTTAAATAGTTAAATTGCGGGGTATATGCATTGTCTCAAAAAAACTGTTTTAAAAAAGTGTGGGCAAGACCCCAGAGTAGCCGCAAGAGGGCGCTCTAAGTACAGACTTACCTCCTCCCTTGGGAACCGAGTTTCTCAGGCCTTGCTCCAGGTTCTGGCCACACCCCAGGATAGGGCCTGTCCCTCATTCTAACCACGCCTCTGAGACTCTGGCCACACCTCCAAGTCCTTGGATATAACCCCAGACCTTAACCACACCCTAAGGTTCTGGTCACACCCCAAGATAGAGTCTGCAGCAGCAAATTCACCCTCCCAACACCCCAAATTGACCACAGATGCAAGCACAAAAACACAGAGCCTGAAAACCGTGACTTTTAATTTGCAAGCATTTTTTTCTTGTTTGGAATCATTTTAAACTTACAGAAAAGTTGCAAGAATAAGACAAAGCCTTGTGTACACCCTTCACCGGGGTTCACTAATTGTTAACAATTTGCCAACATGCTTTATCACCAGTTCTTTCTTTCTTCCCTGCCCCCCCCACCCCCCCACCATCTGAAATAAGTTTCAGACATTGTGCCCCTTTGCCACTGAGCGCTTTGGCGTGTGTTTCCATGTTTATGGACATTCCCTTACACCATCACAGTGCAGTTTTCAGAAGCAGGACAGGGAGCCATGATACAACGCTGGCCAGACAATGCAGTCAAATCTGGCCAAATTGCCAGCTGTCCCTAGACAATCCTTTTTAGCAAAACATTTTTTTTCCAGTCCAGGAGCCACCCTGAGATCACGTGTGCATGTAGTTCTTGTGTCTGGTACGAGTGCTCGGCCTCCCTTTGTGTTCGATGAGGCTGACATTTTTAAACGTTACAGGCCAGCTTCCTTCGTAAGCCATCCCCCTTGATTTGGGTTTGTCTGATATTTCCTTGTGGTTAGATTCTAGTGGCGGGAATATTGTAGCACTGAGGCAGGGCCCTTCTCAGTGTATCCGACCAGGAGGGGGATGATGTTGGTCATCCCATTGTTGGTGATGAAGCCCGTCACTTGGGTAAGATGAAAACAGGGTCCCAGACTCACAGCCTCACCAGGTGAGTTTCTTTCCCTTCCCAGACCATTTCCCTTCCATGAAGATGGAGGTGTGGTTTACCATGAGGTCTGCCAACACACCTCACTGGCAGATGTGCTCTGTTTAGTTCTCACGCTCTTAACACCGGTTCTTTTCTTTTTCTCTTTTTTTTTTTTTTGAATATACCAACATTCGTGATTTGCTAGATTTCATTCATGCACCTGGAAGAGACACTCTCTGGCTGAGTGTCTGGGTTTACCCAGGGTGCTGATGACAACTGAAACTTTGCCACAAGGGTTGGGGCCCCTGGAGAAATGCATTGAGAGTATGACTTCTGGCTTTAGAAAGCTAGGACTGTCACAGAGGAGAACTGCCTTGGTGGCATTGGTGAAGGGAGGGGAGCTTAGTTCTGCTAGGGCCGGGGGGCTGGAGACTGTAGGTATGAACCTCCTCCCCCTCTCCTTGGAGCCTGCCTCTCTCTGGGGGGAGGGGGCTGGGTGTGGAAGGACAGACGCCCCGTCCCAGGGTCAGCAGGCTGAGAGGGGATTTCCGTGTGTGGAGAAGCCAGATTCTTTCTTTTAGAGAAGTAACTTACCAAGGTCAGTGCTGGTTCAGCTCTTGAACCCTGGGGGCTAGTTTCTCACACACGATGCAGCCGGGAGCACAGGTACAAGGAGACCCCCGACACACATATTCCAGGCTGATAAAGGCCTGGCCTCGTGCTCGGCCCTCCATACCTGCAGTCTCATTACATTCTCATCTACCTGTCAACACAGAGAGGTGACTGTTTTTTCCATTTTACACACAAGGAAGCTGAGGCTCAGGGCAATAAGTCACATAGCCCTTTGGTAGCAGAACCCTGGTGTGAGAGATACACTGTTGACCCTCAAAAACTAGTCTCTCCTCCTCCTTGTGTAACAGAACCTCAGAATTTTATCTGGTTACATGTTGCCCAGATAAAACTACATTTCTCAGTCTCCCTAATGATAGATCTAGACACATAACTGAGTTCTAGCCAATAGAATGTGATGTATATGGTCCCTGGGTTGTAGCCTTACCAAGGCATACAAGTGACTTTCTTTTTTTTTCTTCTTCCCAGTGGCTGGACTGTGGATGTGATGATGGGAGCTGACGCAGCTGTTTTGGATAACATGGAGGAAATGTGAGTTGAAGGTAGAAGAGCTACAAGGTGGAAGGAGCCTGAGCCTTTGACATTCTCAAGCTACTATTTTAGGCTTGGGTATTAACTAGGCCTTTGCATGAGAGAAGAGCAAACTTTCCATCTCACTGAAGCCACAATATTGTTGGGGTTTTGTTTTGACAGCAGGGTACAAAGTCTAGCTAACCCACACACATCCAGGCTAGGCCCTCATTATCCCGTTTTTCAATCAGGACAAAGAACAGTCCTATCATCTCTACTCCCCCGCCCCTCGGTGTCCTCGATAATAAGAACAGCAATGCCCACATATCGAGTTCTTTCTCAGCACTGTACCCTGTTAGAAGCGCTGCACATGTATTATTCAAGTTGAATCCTCACGACAACACTACAAGGTAAATGCTATTACTGTGCCCTCAGTTGTTTTGTTGTTTAAGATTCTGTTTATTTATAGACAGAAGGAAAAGAAGAGAGAAAGCGAGGGAGAGAAACATCAATGTGTGGTTGGCTCTCATGCGACCTGCACTGGGGAACCTGGCCTGCAACCCAGGCACATGCCCTGACTGGGAGTTGAACCAGCAACCCTCTGCTTCACAGGCTGGTGCTCAGTCCACTGAGCCACACCAGCCAGGGCCGCCCTCGGTTTTTTAGATGAGGAGACTGAGGATCAGGGCTGTGACAGCGCCTGACCACGGCCACACAGCTAGGAAGCAGAAGGGCAGGACTCGAACTCAGCTCTGACTCCAGGGTTTGTGCCCTGGGTGACACGCCTGGCCGTTATTTATGCCCTTTGTGGTTGCACACACACGCAGGTGCACATCCTCACACTGGTGCACGTGCACATTGAAAATGACAGACGCAACCACACACAACCTTCCTGAGAGGCAGGAGGCCCCTGTGACTGGTAATGTGGGCTCTGGAGGCAGCAGACTTGGGCTCGGACAGGAGACTTGCTCTCTCTGAGCTTCAGTTTTCTCACCCGGAGTATGGGCGTCATCGTGTGGGTCAGTGGCTGATGACGTCAGTGGGAACAGAAAGGCTAGTATTTGCCTTTCTGTTCATATCCTCGGATTGGTCACACGGTGTGCCCTGGTCAGGTGGCTCAGTTGATCAAAGTATTGTCCCGTACACTGAAAAGTTGTGGGTTTAGTTCCTGGTACAGGCACATACCTAGGTTGTGGGTTCCATCCCCAGTCAGGATGCGTACAGGAGTCAACCAATCCATATTTCTCTCCCCCACCCCCCCGCCCCGCTGCCCCTCTCTAAAAATCATTAAACATATTTCCTTGGGTGAGGATTAAAAAATATTGACTGGACACAGCCACAAAGAACCGCAGACCCCATATATAACACAGTGCGGAGTGATCGATGCTCACTCATTCTACTGTCACTTCTCACGCCAGGCAGCGTGCTGGCTGCTATGTGCAGGGCAGCCGCAGCGTGGAAGACCGGGCGCTGCTGGGAGGGACAGTGAGTCGTAGCACAGGTGGTGGGATTGCCACGTGGGAAGTTCTGTCACGCAGCTGCTTGCAGCGCCCAAAAGTCACCTTGCGTAGTGGATCGAATGGTGGCCCCCACAAAGATATGTCCCCAGAACCTGTGAATGTGACCTTATTTGGAAAAAGGGTCTTTGCAGGTGTAATTAAGATAAGGACCTTGAGATGGGAGCATCCTTAATTACTTAGATGAGCCCTAAATCCAATGACGAATGTCTCTATAAGATAAGAGACATAAGAGGAGCCCTGGCTGGTGTAGCTCAGTGGACTGAGTGCTGGCCTGTGAACCAAAGGGTTGCTGGTTCGATTCCCAGTCAGAGAGCATGCCTGGGTTGAGGGCCAGGTCCCCAGTGGGGGGCACATGAGAGGCATACATTGATGTTTCTCTCCCTCTTTTCTCCCTCCCTTTCCCTCTGTCTAAAAATAAATAAGTAAATAATAAATAAAATTTTAACCAAGAGACCGAAGAGGAGACACAGACACACAGAGGAGAGAAGGCTGTGGGAAGCTGGAGACAAGAGATTGGGGCGGCGCAGCCACGGGCTGGAGGAGGATCCTCCCCAGAACCTTCGGAGAGAGTATGACCCTGCCCACACCTTGGTTTTCGACTTCTGGCCTCCAGAACTGTGAGACAAGAAATTTCTGTTTTAAGCCACCAAGCTGTGGGCGCTGGTTACGGCAGCCACAGGAAACCAGCATACCTTCCAGGCTGGGCAGCTCTGGGGACACCAGAGTTCCGAGACGGGTTCAGAAACACAGGCAGTGTCACCAACAAGCACAAAGGCGCCAGGCCACCTAAATCAGGAGGCCCAGGCGAGGACGGGTTCCCCGGTCAGAGCTGACCCGGAAGTACGTGTGCATGGATGTGTGTACATGTATTCACATATGTGTGTGCATGCACACACACACACACACACACATTCATGGAACTCAACAGCGCCTCCCAGGAAGATGTCGGCCCCACAGAGGCAGCATGTGATAGGGGTCGTGGCAGCAGAAATGTTCACAAGCGCCACAAGGGAGGCCCCAGATAAAAAAAAAAAGAACAACACTCACCGTCACTCAGAAACATGGGACCACATGATCACCAACACAATGGGACCAAGGTCACCAGCTTCTCCCGAAGGACAGCTCTTTCTTCACGCGGGGGCAGCGGGGACTGATGGAGTTCCAGTCCTTCCTAGGGGGGCAGGTTCCAGCTGGTCCTCGCCGGCACCACTACGTGTCCATCTTCCCTTCCTGAGGTCAATCCCTGCAACAAATCTCTTACCCGTATTCTGTCCTCCTAGGGATGTTGGTTCTCTGATGGAAGCCTGGGTTCAGCTGAAGAAAGGCTCCCAAGGATGTGACATCCTCGTCCTCATCCCTGGAATCTGTGACATCACTTTACATGGCAAAGGGACCTGACAGGTGTAAAGGAGGTTAAGGATCTTGAGATGGGGAAATTCTCCTGGGCGGGCCCAGTGTAATCACAGGGTCCTCCACAGGGGGGCAGATGGAAGCAAGAGGCTGTAGACACCGAAGGGGCCAGGAGCCAAGGAATGCAGGCATTCTCTTAAGCTGGAGAATGCAAGGGAAGGAATTCTCCCCTAGAGCCCCCTGAAGGCAGCAGCCCTGCCGTCACCTTGGCTTTGGCCCAGTGAAGCTGATTTTGCACTTCTGACCTCCAGAAGTGCAAGAGAACCTGTTTGTGCTGTTTTCAGCCACTGAATGTGCGGGCTCAGTTGCAGCAATGACAGGAAGTGAACGCAATCCTGACCAGTTCACACTCGGGATGCATCCCAGAGTCCAGATGCAGACACTGTATCAGGGAGACCTGGAGCCACTGAGTAAACTGGGACACAACCAGTGAGACAGTCACACAGAAACAATCACATGATGACTGCAGGTCCCACAAGCTCCCACGCACAGAGAGCCCGCAGCAACCAGAGGCACACAACAGTCAGCTGTAGCACTCCTCAGAAACACACACACACGTACACACACACCCAGGGTCACTATGGAACCTAACAGGGCCCCCTGGAATAATGTCACATATTATGTCATCCCCAGAAACAATGGCACAGCACAGCGACACAATGACAGGACATGCAAACACACCGGAAGCCCCACAGCCACCTACACATGTCATCGTCAGCCTGAGACTCGTGGCCACACACTCACGGAACTGGCTGGATACAGCACAAACACACTTCCTCCAGACCCCTCACGAAAGAGGTCCAGCCAAGCCAGGAATATGGTACAAAAATAGTTTATTACAAAAGAAATCTAACAAAAATGCCTAATAATTTACATTGTTGTTAAGTGCCTGGCTACAGCCCGTCTCTCCCTTGTCATGGGCGGAGGGCAGAGGGGAGCGGCTGTTCCCTGGTTCTACCAGCTCTGGAAGGGGAGAAGGAAATACACGTTTGGGTGGAATTCCAGACGGCAGTTGGGTGCCTGAGAATGATGAGGGAAAGAGCCCTGGGGTGGGGCCAGATGGGGAGTATCTGTGTTCAGAAGAGGGGGTAAATACATGTGCCTCTGTGCAAATCCTGGTTCTGAACACTGGGGGTGGGGGGGGGCAGAGTGAGATCTTCACAGTTTCCAGGAGGGGTAACTCCACAGGGCAGGGAGGTCCCTCCTCATGAGTCCAAGATCTGCCCCCCCATCCCTCTCAGCTGCCTCCTGGAGCTGAGGAGGGGGGCACCGGCCGGCCAGGAGCTTGGAGGACTCCGGCAAAGGGCAGGAAGGCAGGTGGAGATGAGGAAGGAAGGAAGAAACTCGGGGGAGCCATGGGAAATCCAGTGGGGTCCTTGGGGGGAGACTGGGAGGGCGAGGAGGACGGTGATGCGGAGAGAAGACCTGTGGAAAGAAGAGAGAGCAGGGTGAGGGCCTTGAGAGGGTAGATCCAGAGAGAAGGGGGCAGTGGGCCCCAACTCCTGCATGGTTCTGAGGGAGAAGAGAGCAGAGGGGCTGGGGGTTGGGAGCCAGTTTCTCACCATTGGAGCTGAGGCGGCTGCTGCTTTCCGGGGAGGTGGTGGCGCTCCGGTCGGGGGAGGGTTCTGGCTGTGATGCAGGCGCAGGCCGCGTGGCCTTGCCCCTCAGGATGTCGATGACCTGTAGGCACATGGGGGATCACCACCAGGTCACTCCCTCCTCCATCTCAGCTCTTATGCGGCCTGTCCGCGAGCGCCGCCTCTTTCTCAGTACGTGAAGGTGGGCACGTCGCTTGCTTTCTTTGTGCCTCAGTCTCGCCTCCCTGCTGGACCCCATACCCACGCACTCACCCGCTCCCCTCCACGCACTGGCACAGACGCACACGCATGTGGCTGCTCCCTTGTGTGCACGCGCACACACATCTATGGATTCGCGCTCGGGAAGAGCCTTCCCCCCAGCCCCCCACCCCCACAAGCGCGCACACTTACCCGGCGGCTGCGCGCCACCATGAGTGGTGTGTCGTTGTGACAGTTCTTGAGGCTGCTGTCCGCGCCGCTGCGGACCAGAGTGCGCACCAGCGGGAGGAGCCCGCGGCCCGACGCCGAGTGCAGCGCCGAGCTGCCGGAATACATCTG